CCAAGAGGATTTTTAGGTTTATTTTACTAAATGATTTTGTCGCTTGTTTAGTGGAAGGAAACTCGTTTCTGCGACACATTTGACATTTTCACTGTTTGGACGATTAAAATGTTTTAAGTGTTTCATATAAACTTTGCACAAGAAGAAGTGATTTAACTAAATCGTATCGAATCGATTTTTAAAATATATCGTATCGAATCAGAAGTTCGGTGTATGGAGGTTCTCCGGTGGAGCAGAACGTTTGGAGTTTTGTTGATGTAAACAGACGAATAAAGAGAAAGAATCTCAAACATGTGAAGGAAACAAACACAAGACCAGAGCTGATCATGACGAGGAACATCAGAACATCAGAACATCAGAACATCAGAACATTAGAACATCAGAACATCAGAACATCAGAACATTAGAACATCAGAACATCACAACATCAGAACATTAGAACAGAACATCATCAGAACATCATCAGAACATCAGAACATCAGAACATCAGAACATCACAAGAACATCAGAACATCAGAACATCAGAACATCAGAACATCAGAACATCACATCAGAACATTAGAACATCACAACATCAGAACATCAGAACATCAGAACATTAGAACATCAGAACATCAGAACATCAGAACATCAGAACATCAGAACATTAGAACATCAGAACATCAGAACATCAGAACATCACATCACAACATCATCAGAACATCAGAACATCAGAACATCAGAACATCAGAACATCAGAACATCAGAACATCAGAACATCAGAACATCACATCAGAACATCAGAACATCACAGAACATCAGAACATCAGAACATTAGAACATCAGAACATCACAACATCAGAACATCAGAACATCAGAACATCACAACATCAGAACATCACAACATCACAACATCAGAACATCAGAACATCAGAACATCAGAACATTAGAACATCAGAACATCACAACATCAGAACATCAGAACATCAGAACATCAGAACATTAGAACATCACAACATCAGAACATTAGAACATCAGAACATCAGAACATCACAACATCAGAACATTAGAACATCAGAACATCACAACATCAGAACATCAGAACATCAGAACATTAGAACATCAGAACATCAGAACATCAGAACATCAGAACATCAGAACATTAGAACATCAGAACATCACAAACATCAGAAACATTAGAACATTAGAACATCAGAACATTACATCACAAAACATCAGAACATCAGAACATCAAACATCACATTCAGAACATCAGAACATTAGAACATCAGAACATTCAGAACATCATCAGAACATCAGAACATCAGAACATTAGAACATCATCAGAACATCAGAACATCAGAACATTTAGAACACATTCAGAACATCAGAACATCAGAACATCAGAACATCAGAACATTAGAACATTAGAACATTCAGAACATTAGAACAGAACATTAGAACATCAGAACATTAGAACATTAGAACATCAGAACATTAGAACAGAACATCAGAACATCATTCAGAACATCAGAACATTAGAACATCAGAACATCAGAACATCAGAACATCAGAACATCACAACATCAGAACATTAGCACATCAGAACATTCAGAACATCACAACATCAGAACATCAGAACATCAGAACATCAGAACATCAGAACATTAGAACATTAGAACATCAGAACATTAGAACATTAGAACATCACAACATCACAACATCAGAACATCAGAACATTAGAACATCAGAACATCAGAACATCACAACATCAGAACATCACAACATCAGAACATTAGAACATCAGAACATCAGAACATCAGAACATTAGAACATTAGAACATCACAACATCAGAACATCAACATCACAACATCAGAACATTAGAACATCACAACATCACAACATCAGAAACATTAGAACATCATGAACATTCAGAAACATGTCAGACATCAGGAACATCAGAACATGAACATCAGGGTCAGACTGGGGTCAGACTCTGGTCAGACTGGTCAGACTCGGTCAGACTCGGGTCAGACTCGGGTCAGACTGGGGTCAGACTCTGGGGTCAGACTCGGGTCAGACTGGTCAGACTCTTCAGACTGGGGTCAGACTCTGGTCAGACTCGGGTCAGACTCGGGTCAGACTGGGGTCAGACTTCAGACTGGGGTCAGACTGGGGTCAGACTGGTCAGACTCGGGTCAGACTCGGGGTCAGACTGGGTCAGACTGGGGTCAGACTGGGTCAGTGGGGTCAGACTGGGGTCAGACTGGGGTCAGACTGGGGTCAGACTCGGGTCAGACTCGGGTCAGACTCGGGTCAGACTCGGGTCAGACTGGGGTCAGACTCGGGTCAGACTCGGGTCAGACTCGAGTCGTGAGCTGCAGGAGTTTGTGTGTTAGTTGCTGGTTGGTCTGAGTCTGTGGTTGATTCTCTGTGGGAGTTTGGCTTTGCTCAAAGTCGCTGAAAAACTCCGGCGTTTGTGCTGAGTCGGCGTTTGTGCTTCTGGCCCCGAGCGAGAGG